CTATTTATTTAGTTTTTGTTCCATTTCTTTTAACAATGTTTTGTAGTTTCAGGTTTTATAATTTTTTTATTATGTATTACTAGCTGTTTGTTAATGCTATTGTAAAACTTTTTAATTTTAATTTCCAATAGTTTATCCACTACTCTATAGAAATCCATATAGCAATCTTGCATGCTGCAACTACTAAATTTATTAACTAGTCGAGCAGCTTTTGTTTTCTTGACACATTTTATTGGATATTTTTTTCTGAAGAGGATTATGTCACTTTCAAATAAGTATAATTTGACATTTTCCCCTAATCTGGATGCATTTGTTTTTACTTTCTTTTCTTAGTATACTGACTAGAAACCGTAGGGCAGTGTTGATTAGATTAGTAATAGTGATTATTTCTTATTTCTAATTTTATTTATTTTCTGAGTTTTTATTAGGAACTAGAGGCCTGCTGCACGATCAGGGCCGATCATGTTCCCCGCCTCCCTGCCTCCTCCTTCCCTTGCTGCCTGCACGCCGCCACTCCCCTCCTCCTCCTCTCCTAGCCGCCACTGTGTGGTTCCCCACCTCCCCCCCGCCCTCCTTCCCTCGCCAGCTGCATCAGCCACCAGTCACCCCTGGTTCCCCATCCCAGCCCGGGGATCAGGTGATCAGGACCAATTGGCCAAGGGAAGGGACTGGGAGGTTGGCCGGCAGGCACTGAAGAGGGAGCCAGCCCTCAGCCCCCCTGAGAAAGGGGCCATGTCCGCTGCCACCCACCCGCAGTTCCCCGTCCCAGCCCGGGGGCCCGGCCGCAATTGGGCGATCAGGGCCTGCCAGCTGGGGGAAGGGTTTGGGAGGTTGGCTGGCAGGCCCCATTGCCAATCACAGCCTGCGGGCTGGGGGAAGCTCCTGCATTGAGCATCTGCCCCCTGGTGGTCAGTGCATGTCATAGTGACTGGTCATTCTGTTAGTTCCCTCATAATGGTCACTTAGGCTTTTATATATATAGATGGATGTTAACCTATAAAATAATTTATCTGCCTTTATTGAGATCTTCATATGAGTTTTCCTGTTTTAGCTGTTAAATGTTAAATTATAGCAATAGACTTTTAAAATGCTAAATAAATCTTTATCCCTGGGATAATTCACACTGCATCATTATCCATTGTTATCCATTGTATTGTTCTCAAATAACCATTTTTAAAGTTGTATTAATTTTTTATTTATTTTTTGTTTTATTTTTTCTTAATTTATCTTTTACTCTTAAGTGTTTTTTTTCTTTTACTTTGGGTCTAACTTTTTTTCTTTTAGTGTCTTAGAGTGAAAGCTGAAGTCATTGATTTTTTTTCCATCTCTTCTTGCATAGTAGCTTAGTAGTAAATAGAGATATACTAAAAATATTCAGCAAACACATTGCAAAAGGTAAGGATAATTAAAACATTTAAATAAACTACGAAGAATATTATAATAGTACACCTAGTAAAATGCATTTTTGTCTGATGATTTCCATTGATTAAATATAAGTAATCATAATCCCTTATTTTTGACACAAAAATAGATGTGGATATAAGAATATGTTTATCTTTATATTACAAATATATATTTTAACTTATTTTAGGTGATTGTAAAATCGGGGCCAGGGACTTTCCTCAGTTTGGCTGTTTATGACAATTACATCTTTTGGTCAGACTGGGGAAGAAGAGCTATCCTGCGTTCCAACAAGTACACTGGAGGAGACACAAAAATTCTCCGTTCTGATATTCCACATCAGCCTATGGGAATCATAGCCGTTGCCAATGACACCAATAGCTGTAAGTTACAAAGAAAGCAAATTTATTTCTTAATTATATACTTTCTCAAACATTTCTCTATGTGCTTTTTTTTTTTAACCACGATAATCAAATATATCATTCTAATGGCACTAAAACAGCTGGAAGTGCTCATGGTGACCTTGCATGAGACTTCCTGCCTTTTCGCTGTGTGTCTCTATGTATTTTAGTAATACTTAGTTGGATTTCGTTTTGTTAAATTTCCTTGGGATAGTGTTCAGGATTTGACATTTCCAAATGTAGAAATTGTCCAAAAGATGTAAGTTAAAATGTCTGTGCTTCTTAATTTATCACCAAAGGAACAATTCATTTTAAATTATTGTTTCTGGAATTCTATTCCATTCTCTCTCACTCCTCGTATCTTTGAACTCTCAAATCAACTTGCTTCCCTGTAATAAACAAGCTTTGCATCTGGGCTTAATTTCTTTTTAAATTACTGGAATATCTGCAAAATTGCTGTTGGTAGTATTTGTGTGGTCTCTAGTAGTATTAATGCATTTGGTGCTATCGCATCCTTGATAAATGTGTTAGTGTAGTATCCCTGTTACATATTTTTCTCATGTTCTTATCTTTTGAGGTTTTTGGATTTTCAAAAGTCCTGAATCTTTTTTGTTTATGAGATTTTTAAAAGTGATTGAGGCAGTCTAACAGTTCACTGTTAATCTACAGCTAACATAGAATAGGAAATCAATATAATGTTACCAATAAAGCTTCCTCATTGCAGGTGAACTTTCTCCGTGTGCTCTACTGAATGGAGGTTGCCATGACCTGTGCCTTTTAACTCCTAATGGGAGAGTGAATTGCTCCTGCAGGGGAGATCGAATATTGGTAGATGACAACCGATGTGTGAGTAAGTAAAGAGATTCCAAATGCGATATGACATACTGCTCAAAACAGCACACATGGACATTGGCATGTTTGACTATATTCTTGAAGTTTTACTCTCCTCCAATAGTCAAGGCCCCATTGGCTTATCTGTATATTCTAGGAAAAACTCAATTCAGCATTCTACTTTGCTATAGCAATATGAATAGATAATGTTAACTCAGAGAGTCACAAATGGTGTCACTGATTGTGGATGGGAAGATTTGAGGCTAGCTAGAGAAATACCTGTACACAGTGATCATATGAAAACGTATGACTTTAAAAATTCATCAACAGCAAAATTAGTTAAAGTTGAAATAAATTGGTATGCAGGCTGGTATTGAGGCCTTGTAGTAAAACCACTACAGTCTGTCCCAGTATGTAAATGAGAGAGAATGGCTAATGTGACTTATTTGTAATCATTTCCAACCTGTTAATTAAGAATGTAGCATTTCAACCTTGCATCATGTTTATACCTCCCAAACGCATTAAAATCTGTAATTAGTACCATTACATTATACACTTATTAGCAACTAAGTTTAAAAAATTGTTTCTAAAATAAATAAGGGTTCAAGCATACCAATGTTTCCATGAAAAATTAGCCAGCAACATAAAACAGGTTAATTCCTCTTTAACATTGAGACACCCTGTGTATAAGACAGATGAGAAAGACGCATCTTATTGGAAACTGGTGAACTCACTCTCAGGAAGTTTCAATATTTGACATATTTTCTATAATTATATCCTCATCTCATATTTTTTTTCATATTAGAATTTCAGCAGAGCTGGATGTGTCTACATTACAAAAATAAAATCAGAGACTATAAGTATTTTTTTATCTTCATCTTCAGTCTTATGTTGGATTTTACCAGAAGGATCCTTTAGCTATTCTTTAATACAAGGACTTTGACATCATTTTGTTTACCTTAGAAATCACTGCACCTAATACAAGAACTTCAACGTATCTCCTCACTTTGCAAATTGGTAACACAACCCAAAAGGATACCTCTTAGCCAAGTAACTAAAATAATTAAAAATAAGTAAATAAACTGTGCCAAAGCAAATGAGGGAAAGATGCAATTGGTCAGAGAACTTTAAATGAAGATAGCCAATTTCAATAATTCGGGCCACAAATCCCCACACTTCTTCATCAACTATCATTTTCCTGAATTGCTTAGGCAATTGCTTAAACCCTCTCTTTCAGTTTGCCTTTGTGGCTTCAGCTGCAATGGTCTGGATCTGATGCCATCTGTAAACCTGGAGTGTTAGCCATGCGTTAGAATCACTGATGTTCCGTTCACAGGTCACCACAGGCCAGTAGTGAAGCAATGCCTTTGGTCATAACAACAAGGCTTATTTGTATACAGTGGATGCTTATCCTTGCTGCAAAATAGATTAGATACATCTGTCTCAACTAAGCCACCTGTTTCTCCCAATTGATGAGAGGGCATGAATCAGACAGAAAACTATCATTTTAAACAAGTGCAGTTTATTCACATGAAACTATAAAGTGATGGTGGATTCCACAGAGGTGACAAACCTTTATAAAAGCATCCTGCATCCTTTGGGCATTCATATTGAAATCCTGCGGTTCAGCAGAAAGATTGGAAAGTAATTCTTGGCTACTTCCTGTAAAATTTATCTTTGGGAAATGAGAATGTTTCTGGCATATCTATGTCCTCTTCTGAATTAATTCACCCAGAGCAGTTCGTGAATGTTAATGCCAGTGTTGAAGCTGTGAAAGGCCATTTATTAACCCCTCCCTGAGGGCAAAGGAGGGAAAATTATCTGTTGTCATAACACTTGACAAAAAGTTTAGGCAATTCCATTTTAAACAGCATTGCTAAACCTATCAATACCCATAATAGAAATAAGAATAGTAAATTTAATTAGATAAAGTAAAAGAATTAAAAGAAAACAGAACCATATTTTTGATTCTAGAAAGACAGAGAAAATACTCAATCCCTTTTCATCAAATGAAGAAGCTAAGAAGCATGAATTGTACAGTGTTTGCTTTTGCATCATAAAAATATACTTATGGTGAAGAATTTTTGTTTCTCTCCTCAAAGGAATAATTATTTTTAATTTTTAAAAATATTTGTATTGCTTTCAGAGAGGAAGAGAGAGGGAGAGAGGGAGAGGGAGAGGGAGAGGGAGAGAGAGAGAGAGAGAGAGAGAGAGAGAGAGAAAGGAAACATCAATGATGAGAATCATTGATCAACTGCCTCCTGCACACCCTACCCCGGGCATGTGCCTTGACCGGGAATCAATCCTGGTTCATAGGTTGATGCTCAACCGCTGAGCCATGCCAGCCTGGCAATGGAATAATTATTTTAAAAGTGAAGTTGCCATTTTCCATCATAATAGTTGTCATTGGAAATGAGATATTAAATAGGGTGCATTTAAAATAGACTAAATAAGCTGGGTAAGTGGCTGAATTTGGTTTAGTTCGTGGTCTACAGTGATTGTATATAGCAATGTTGATACCCTTCTTAACACTTGTTCCTTTGAATTAATAATATTTATAGATTTTCCATTCTTTGTTACTTTCTCTAAAGTGGCAATCTACTTTATCTACTGACCAGTGAGGTTTAGACTTCACCAAGGAAAAAAAAAGAAACTATATTTAGAGGGCGTCACTATTATTAAAAGAATTCAATAAGACATGATAGATAGGTAGATAGATAAAAAGATAGGTAGATATTCTGTTTAAGTTAATTAAATTCTAAGAATAATAAAGAAATAAGATTCTGGAAACATCAAAGAGTATTAGTGGCTGTTTAATGGAATATTCCTGAAATAAAGCTTAAAAAGAAATTGACAGAAAATTGTAAAATTAAATTAAGTTTCCTGTATTGGTAGAGATAAATAAATTTGAATTGCTTCCAACATAATTAGTATGACTGGATTACACTGTACAGTTATTCAACAAGTAGTTGAGTGAGTTCAAGCAAGCAAGCAGCACATAATACAATAAAAAAATTGGATTTCTAAAATTGGCCATTAAATCCATTTTTAAGAATAAATATAAGTCTATTTTCCATATGAGAGATCTTTCTAAAACAGGGACCAACTACTGGCATTACAAGGATAAAAACTAGCTGTAGAAAGTTTTTATTTTGTACTTTGTGCCTGTTGGCCTATGCTCCCAAATTGGGCAAACGACATAAAAACTCAGACTTTTAATTTATAAGAAAAATCTTGAGATTAAGAAGTGGGACAATATGGCAGTGGTCAGTTGGATCCCTTAAGCATCCAGAGCACATGTTTGTAAGTTATCCTTGTCCAGCTCATCCCACAGAATTCGGTGCATTTCATGGAGCAGGTGCTGGTCCTATGTGGCAGGAAGGGATGGCCTGCTCCCTGGTCCCACCAGGGATAGAGAAAGTGGCTGATGAGAGTAGTTTTAGCCATTTAAGTACTTCTGAATGATAGAAGCTGCTACTGGGATTTCTTCTGAAATTAGTTGGGAAGGAAAACCAGTTTTAGGTGAGATTTTAGTCAGATGAATCAAGTTAAGCATTCAAAAATAAGAATTCTATGCACTAGAAAATTTCAGTGTGCTGAAGAATATATGGTAGAGTCATATATGGTAGAGTCCAATAAGAAAACACACAAAAAAATTCTCAGTACGTACAGAGAGCATTTAACTGTCTCTCTTTAAAAATTTATTTTTAGGTTAGACTGCTAACCAAAGTGCATAAATATAGTCATCCACATTTAAGTCTCTCCTCTCTATTTATGTACAGTCACCAAATAATTAACAAAATATACAAATAGGCAAAAAAGCAAAAAAAGTCAGGCAACTTCCAAAAAATATACAAAGACAGGGAAAGAAAAATAACCCCGAAGTGTGCTTTTTATTTTTTTAAATAAAGAAACAGCATGAACCATTGTCTTTACCTTACTTTTATATTAAGATCAATTTTAGTTTATTTTTATAATTAAGATTAAGGAAAACAATTGTTAAGGTGTTAACAAACATTTGCCATTACAAAAAACCTTGACTTTTTCCTTTCAGCTAAAAATTCCTCCTGCAACATTTATTCAGAGTTTGAATGTGGAAATGGAGAGTGTATTGACTATCAACTCACCTGTGATGGCATTCCTCATTGTAAGGATAAATCCGATGAAAAATTGCTCTACTGTGGTGAGTGTCCAATAGGTGATTTATTCTTTCAGAGAGAAGTTTGGAATTGTTTCTATATGTTTTTGTTGGTTGTCCCCATTCGGTTTATATGTGTGATTTTCTTCATGTGTCTCTTTAACGTGTAGATCTAAGGCAAGTGATTTGGCTTTGCCCTGGTTCACCTGGAACACCTTATTTCCTGTCCATTAGCCATGGTATTCATTAAAGAATTTTCTCACAGTTTTCCACCATGAAGAGAAAATTTAAATATGGCTGGAGCCTGTCTTTGGAGCTCTCTTGTTACTCATCTTTAGCAGTAGGTTCCAGGTTCACATTCTTCAAAGTGTACATCAGAAATATCAGTTATTGGTGAATATTGCAGTTTAAATTTGGAGCAAAGGTCCGTCATCAGTCAATAGCATGTTGGTTTATATCAAAGTCTTGTCCATTTTATTTTTGCCTCCAGGACTGACCCAGGGCTAGTGTTCTTAGGTGCAAAGGCTGATTGCTTTAGCCATGGTCTCCATCGAGCATGGAGTTCTGTGCCTCTGTAGGTGACACCGATTAATAGTCAGCCTTTCCCTCACCCTTGGGAGCAGAGATTGGCTTTTTGACTCTAGTAAACAATTGATATTTGCCTTCATTGCAGCAATGTTTTTCCTGGAAATTTGTGTCTGTTCAATCATGCGTAGTTATTATAGAATTGATTCAGATTATTTCTAAATTTATCTATTTCTGTGCTACAATATAATACTATTGGTGTTGCACGCTCTGTAAAATTTAGGAATCGATATCTGGAATTGCGATATTTGGTTTCTACTTTTCTGCTTTGTTATATTATTTGGGTAATAAACATACCTAAATATTCAACGTAATGTTAAAACAAGAGGGAGATGGAGCTTGCTAAATTCACAGGCAGTTCTTTCACACTTTTACATTACAGAATAACATACCATCAGTGAAAATGATAGTGAAATGTAATTTGTCCATGATTAATCTGTAACTAAAATATTAGGTAATTTGCCTCAAATGACATATTTGCTTGAATGAATAGCCATATCTTACACACTATGAAAATATCAAAGCTTATCAAATATAATAATAATCAGCTTACAAATTTCCATTTATTATGAATTAGCTTGAGAATGTATTTTTACATTATTTTCATCTTAGAAGCCAGATTTTATTTGAGCAGAAATTAGCAAACTTTTTTTTTTTTAAGGGCCAGCTTTGTGGGACGTATATGCTCTCTGCCACATGTGCTCTATTTAAAAAAATACTTTGCAATCCTTTCTAAGTGTAAAAGCTTTTCTTAGCTTCAGAGTCATAGGAAAACAAGCTGATGGACTTCGTTGTCCTTTGGGCTATATAGTTTGACAACACCAGATACAGATTCCAAGCTTTGGAATCATACCTGAGGTTGCATCTTTGTTCCCAAACCTCCTGGGGTGTGACTAGTGTGAGCATGTGTATTACTTCTCTGTATTTTAGTTTCCTGCTACAAAACAAACTTAGCTCTAATTGAGAGCATTAAGTAAAGAAATATATATTTACATATGTTCAATATAGAGCCTGGCGCAAAATTAGTATGCAGTAAATGGCAGCTACTATTATTAAGTGTTACCTTCTCCCCCAAATCAGGAGACTCTCATTAAAGTAAATAAAATTCAGGAGGCAGCTCTTCTTAGGAAATTCTGGCAGACAGTTTTAGATGATCTTTAAGAGAAATTTATGGATAGTTAGGTGACTTGGATTCAGGGATTCAGGAATATATGTTTTGCTACTTTTTGTTTCTTGTTATAAAATCCTTGCAGGATGCAAAGTAGATGGGAGATAGGTGTCAGAGTGTCTTTATTGCTTTAGAGGTAGAGATTTATTTATTCAAAATATGTGGCATTTGTTTATTTCTGTGCTGACTGATGCCAGAAACAATAATGAGGGTATCATTTTAAGAGATCTGCAAGTATGAATCATTGCAGCTAAGATACTTCATCAAAAAGGCTCTTTACTGAATGATCTACTTGATAACGCATGAATATTCTATAATCCAAATCTTCGACACTGCTCGGCACTTATTTTATAGATCCACAATCCAGTCATTATGAGTGAGATCTCATTGATGATTTCCTTTCTGTAAAAGTTTTTCTATAAGACCTTCAATTATGTGTTTCTATTTTTATTCTTAAGAAAACAGAAGTTGTCGAAGAGGTTTCAAGCCCTGCTACAATCGTCGCTGCATTCCTCACGGCAAGTTATGTGATGGTGAAAATGACTGTGGAGACAGCTCTGATGAATTGGATTGTAAAGGTAAATATATGTTGCATCAGCCTATCTATTATTCCATTAATTGCTTCTAGAACTTTTCTGAAGTTTATTCTTTAGAGCACTATGGTTTTACCCATTTGGTGTGTAACACGTACTAACATCTATGGACCACGCTGTTGGAGGGGAGTTATTAGAATTAATTGAAAATCATGACTATATTCTCAGTTTTTGGTTTCTATTCCTTTGCTCACTTTAAAACTCTTGTTACCTCTCACCTCTTCAGGTCTGCATCCTTGTTTGTTGGACATTTCTACCAGAATGTGTAATACTAAATTTACTGCTCCAAAATGTACCTTTTTATTTCTTAATTCTGTTTTACACATGAACTCATCATTTTCTTAATGACTGGACAGGAAACCTTGGTATTACCTTTGATTCCTCTTCCCACCATATTTCATCACCCACATGTCCAATCATCAACAAACCTTGCAATCCTTGGCAATAGTTTCCCTTTCAATCTACTTTGAGCCTGGATTAACAGAGTAAAACCCTTTTAATAGTTTCCCTGCCTCTGCTGTTTCTAATGAATCCCAATGTTGTGAGTCATGCTAACACATGTAACATTTTCTCACAGTGATAACCAGGAGAGATCAGTAAGCCTGACTACCTGTGAAAGAACCCCAGACCTTACAGTGACTGTGTGACTTTGGATAAGATACTTAAGTAATCTGTGCCTCAGTTTTTTAAATTGAGAGAGAAGACAGTTACATGACTACATTAATAAATAAACTTAGAACAGAACTTGGCATCTAGAAAATGCTATGAAATACTTGCCTTTAAAAAAAATCACTGCCCTGATTTAAAAACACAAGTGAAGTTTCAATGTTTGCAGAATCAATGACAAGTTTTTAGTTTAAGATTTAAGGTCTCCTAAAAGCTGGACTCAACCAATGTTTGCAAACTAATTTCCTTTCAAGAACCTTTGCATTCATTGAACACACATTATTGGGTAAAATGTATTAAGGACTGAGTCATAAAATTAAATAAGTCATGAGCCTGTCCTCAAGGAATTTAAACTCTAAGTGAAAGACGGTTATTTAAAAAGATGACGATGTACATAAATTGCTATGATTGTACATATTAGAATTTCTTTTGGCTTGGAAATATCTTGAAATACAGACTAGATTAAATTTAAGCTTTCTTTAAAAAAGAAAATAAATAAATTTAAACTGTCTTAAACTATAAATACAGTGGAATGATCTAGACAGAAGAGAATTCTGAGTAGAGTGATTAATATTGAAAACTGCAAGTAGTTTGATATGGTTAGCACCAGGCCAGGTTGCATATTAGAAGGTGGTAAAAAAAGATGAGGCAAGTTTGAGGAAGAAGGCAAGATATGAAAGTTTTTTGATGCCATGTTAAACCGTGTTAAAGAAATTGAACTTTATTTTGTAGTTACCAGAGTGTTGCTGAAGGTTTAAAGCAGGCCCCAAATATTCAAATTTACATTTAAAAAAATAAAAAAGTGCAGTGATTGTGTGAATGAAAGCTGTACTGCTGAGATAGGAAAGACAAAACAGGAGGCTATCATAAAGGCCAAAGCTAAGAGCAACAGCATTTTCAAAGGGAGCATTACCACCTCTTCTGGTCTGCATCCCTGTTTACTGGACATTTCTACCAGAATGCGTTATACTGAATTTACTGCTCCAAAATAACCAGTCTTCCTGGGTGATAAACATAGAGAAATCATGGGAAAGAATAGAGAAATTTTGTGAAATTGTTTGCCTGTTTTAAAAGTATCATATGCTTTTGTTATTCTTTTAAACTTATTTGTGTAGGGCTTTTGTTTGGGTGGGACAGGATGAGATAATAAGGATAGTTGCATTCTGAGGGAGGAGCACCTGCAGACATTGTGAAGGAACTGTTCCAAAGGCACACAGAGAGGCACAGACCTGAAGCTCGGGTAGAAGATTTAGACCAGATGCTTTGGTTTTGGGCTCACTAAAGAGAGAAAGCTCAGCGGATGTATGGAGTGATCGTTTTAAGGAAATGCGCCAGAATTGCCTGTTGAATTTAAAATTAAAGACATTGATTAAAAAAAGGGGGGAGGGGTATAGGCCTCAGGACTTATAGAAGATTTTCATAAGAAATTATTTTTTAAGAAAGTAGGATCAGTTACCATTGTAAAGTGTTACAAAGAGGTCAAGAGGGCAGGCATAGACTGGAGTGCCCGTTGTAATGCTAAATCGGAGAAAATCTCTTGGTTATCTTCATGAGAATCAGTTCAATGGATGGTAAGGAAAAGCCAGGTCACATTAAATTGTGGCAGAAAATGTATGGTGAGGAAGTAAAAACAGTGAACATGGACTCTTTTTTAGAAAAGATTGATGGTAAAGAAAAACTGAGAAGTACACGTGTAATAAGAAGGCTATGCAAAGTTGGGAAGGAGGGCAGACTGCTTGCAAATTATTTTGTAGGCAGAAAAGGATTGGAAAGTTACTTTGTTGTCTTAGACTCTATGACCTTAGTCAAACATTTGAGTAGTTTGCCATCTAAGACACGATAGTACTGGAAGAGCCAAGTACATTTGCAAATTAGGTCAACTATTATTTTATATCACCTACAAAAGTTAAAAATGATAAGTTGCTATACAATAGCGGGAGTAAAAACAGGAAAATAGATGAGCATTTGGGAAAAAAAGGAGGATGGGAAGCTTGGAGACCAGAAGGTGGATGGGTCTGTTGGATGACCTGTTTACAGGCAGGAGAGGAGAATATAATAAAGACCTTATGTCAGGATAAAGGGACAAACATCAAGCTAGAATACACAGGAACGAACAGTAAGTACAAAAAGTGGATTTTAAAACAAAATTCATAAAAAGAACCATAAGAATTTAATAAGTTGCTGTGGGTTTTCTTGGAAAACGATTTTCCTTTCAAAAGTGGTAAATAAATTAGTGTGTTTGAGTTCATAAAATACAGCCCCTAGTACATGGTAGGTGTTTATTAAATTCTTATGTGGCTCTTTGCAGTAATAAATCTTCCAGAATGTAAAGATAAGTTTTATTGTTCCTAATGACATCAATACTAGCTGCTGAATAACAATAAAAATAACTTCCAGTATGATTTTCCCTTTTTTAAACTCTGATTTCTGTGTTATAACTATCTCGGCGATATACTTGGGCACAGAACTACTGCATTTGTGTGTTTCTGTCAAAACTTTTCTTTTGTGATAATAATAGGGAAAATTATAACAATTTGACATCTTAAAAGACAACAGCAACAAAATCTTATTCCTTGACATTCTTCCTGTATAATGTAGGACATTTGAAACTAAAAATGCTCATGGACACTCAAGTATTATTGCCTACTAAAAGTTAATGGAGTTAAGTAAATGCACTAGCCCCTTTAAGAGAAATAAAGGGGTCGTTTTTTAGATGAACAATAACATCACAGTTTCATCATTTAGATTTGATTTTTCTCTCATGTTAAGTTTGATCACATGGTGTCCCTACTGGGCACATTTTATACCACAGGGGACATACTTGCCTTGGTCCATTTTCCATAAGTCAGGTTACCTTATAAATCAGTGATTCAGATAAACTAGTATGTCTATCAAACACATGCTACTTCCAGCACCTCAAAGATGGTGAAGGACAAGGAACATGGAAGGCTCAGGGAGAATGGACAAGAATTCACTTTCCACTCCTCTGCTTCTGTCGTCAGTGAAACACGGGATGCCATGCTTTGCTGTATGTATGCATAGACATGCACAAACCACCTATTATTTTTTACTGTAAATAAAATAAAATGGAAAAAATTAAATTCGTACGATAAAAAACCAGGTTGCCCAGGGAAATTTTGATAGGCAACAGAGAAAGGCTATAGTGGAATCATCTGCAAAGTATTTGAAGTACTAGTACATGTGTTTGTTTAGTTTATATGCTAATAATAGTATTTAACATTACTATTTTTTTCATAAAGCAGATCATTTATTTACAGAGTGGAATTGATGTTATTAGGAATTATGTTTGGTTTCTTCTCATTTGGAAGAAAAACAAAACCCCGAATCCTCATCAATCTTTTATTCCTGTGCCTTTACAGCTATTGTTTCATGACTGAGAGCTTTAGACAGCAGGCCGTCTGGGGGATCTGAGAAGTTGTTCAGAAAAATCTGTCATTCTGTATTCCTTTTCTGGTTGTGCGAGTGGTTGAGTGAATACATTCGGGGAGAGTACACGGTTCCTCTCCTTTCTTCCCGGAGATGAATATAAATACTGCCCTTGGGACGTACATGAACTTCCTAGGGCGCCCTGAACACCTTCAGGGGAAATGGAGAGCGAAGAGGTTCTGTGGATAATACCTAAAGGAGAGGAAACTTGTGTTTGCTTTTTAAAACGTTCATAAAAAAAAACCCCAAACTTTGAAGATTTCACAAACAACAAGTTAAAGGGAAAAGATAAGCATGCCCGGAGAAGAAACCATCTTCCTCTGGGCTTGCATACACTTACAGCCAAGCAGTACATTAAATAAACACTGTGGCGGGAAAGTAAACAGAAGAGACATAGCAGCACATGCAGTGCCTCCCCCTTTGCCAGCTCATATACCTCCCCCTGTGCGGCAGGCTGGGTGGGAGTGCTGGGAGACAAAATGGTGACGTAGGTTATGTGTAAGGAGTGTCCTAAGAAGCACAAAAAGACTGATCCATTTTATGCCTTGCCTATCTCAGTAAATATTTTAACTGACATGCAGAAAAGAAAGTGGGTAAGATAATAAAATTAAGGAAGTATGTGGGGAAAAGAGTGGTGTTACTTCTCTCTTGCTGCTACTTTTTGTTTTCAATATTATTGTTTAAAGTATTACAAATAGTAGTATATATGTCTCCTTTTTTCCCTCATTGACCTTCCCCCGGCCTCCCCTATCCCCATGCCCCCCCTCTGGCACATGACCTCACCCCACCCCACCCAGTTCCTTTGATCCACAGTCCCTCTCAGATCTCCTTTGTAGTATCTCCTTGCTGTGCTGGTGTGTGTAGGCTTACTTTTTCTTTGGATTATCTGGAGGGAAAAGTCTAGTATTTCTCACTTGGCTTATCTATTTTTGGACTATTTTTTTTTCTGTTTCTCTTTTTCAGTACTTTTAGCCTGAGGAAATTTTCCAGAAAGCTTTCATACTCACTTGACAAATTAGTGATTCCAGCATCTTTCTCCCTCAAACTTCACCCTAAGGGTGAAACAAATTTCAATGACTGACTAATCAAAACAGCATGAAATAGGAATTTAGTTGAGGGAACAGAGAGGAAGGGGAGAAGAAGAGGAATTTGCTTATTTGTTTAATAAAGTTTCTGTAATTCCCGTGGATTTGTTCCATCACAGGACTGCCTCTCTTGCTTACCAATGCTGGCGATGTGAACCATGAAATTCTGCAACCACTTAATTTGTCTAATTCTATTGCCGCTTACCACCCTATTTAACTCTCTGGTGGTTCCCAAACTCTATACAAAGGCATGGACTCCGCAGAAACAGTATTAGAGGTAAAAGAATGTTTGTTCCTATTTGCACACACTCCTGGGCCTCCTCACCAAGATTCAGAGTTTATTTTTGATTGGGAATAGGGGAGGAAAATAACTCCTGCAAATATTCTACCCTCTCCTCAGTTCTCCTGGCTCCCTACCTTATCTATTTTTCAGTACCTGTCTTTTAAGTACCATCTTCTAACCAATCTTCTCATCTTCAAAGTTATAGTTTCCTTTCATCTAGTCAGAGTTCCTCTCCTTATATCTTTTGCCTTCCCAGAATTCCACCCAAGACTGTGTGCTACTTGCACCACATTTCCCTTTTCTTAAAAGTCATTCTTTGCTCTTCCTTCCACCTGAGAGCCCCCGACACTGTTATTGAAACTTCATTATTGTGAAATCCCTGAATCTCGGGCCTCTTTGTCTGAAATCCACCTCCATGTTCGTGAGTCATAATTTGCCTCTTCACTCTGTCTGCCACCAGACCCACTCAGCTTGATTCCCTGTCACATGCACAGAGGATTGTCTGTGGAAGCTTGGAGGGAGATGGAAATGGCATAATGGGTTGTGATGGTTCCCACTGGCATCTTTCTGGCATCCTAAACTCTAACTACGAGATAGAACTTCAAGTGTACTAGGAGATAGATCTTTGTAGGCTTTATAGGGATATTACCACTACCTTAAATATTGTTTCACAGAGAAATTATTTCTATCTTCTACATAAAGGGATTATAGAGAATCTTTTGTAACACAACCTCTTAATAGGAGACTGATGATAGATAGCAAAGTCAGAAACAAATGTAAAAGCTTGTCATCATTACTTTCCATGTCATATATTCTATTTACTATTTCCATTGAAAAGTATTAAAGGTGGAACATTATAGAGCGGAATATGGAAAAGACCTTGTTTTTTTAGGCATAAAAGAAAAATATCTATTTTTTCCTGTTTGGAGCAATATTTTTATCTACTCATAATAACATTGTTTCACATGATAAGAAGTTATTTTTAATAAAGAAAACAGTGAAGCAATTATAATTGCAAATTGTAAATAAAACATTTATTTTAATTATCATTGAACACAAATAATGTAGAATTGCAAGACAATTAAACATAATAAGAGCAGTGCTTTATGAAATACAAATGACATACAATCCCTCGAGTAAAATTTGCATATTTTAAGATAGCATTTTAACCATTTGCAATTGATATAATTTCTATTTATAATTAAATAGGCTTTTAAAAGTATCAACACTAGCAAAAGTAGCATAATCAAAGAGCCCTTCAGGTTGTACATCAACATAATCAACCTGTGGAAGTTTAAATCTGGAATAAAAATCTCACCTAAGTTAATGGAACACACATAGCATGCCATGCACCTGTTCACAGCATATTGCCGAAAGCCATTATATGGTAATGAATGTGTAAGCAAAGTAGAAAGGAATGTAAGAATAAGAATAAGCTATTCTGTACAAAGTATATATAATGACATGAGCATATTGAAACTGATTTTTACCTCAGCCTCGCAGGGACTTGGAAAGACATACTTTCCAAAAATAGAGACACATAAGAACACATTTATGTTTCTTGGCCTGAGGCATCCATATTTCCTATACCAAATGTTACTGATATGGCCATGGAAAGGAGTAGCATGGATGTCTTTCTAGCGGTACTGAGTACTCTGAGTACTCAAGCGATTGCTCAGTGGTTTCTCCCTCTCAGTCTCTGCCTGGCCATCTCTCTTTATCATAGCAGGGACTGTTCTACTTCTTAGCAACCGGATTGGGATTTCCCTGTATGCTCTGAATCAGGCATTTGCTTAGTGCCATAACCGTGTACTGTTGAAGTTGGAGGAAGAGAATTTTCTGCAACACTCAATTGTTTTTGTAGGTTGCCTTAGTCTTGGACTGGTATTTTCATGGTAAACAAAGCACAATTCCTATTTTCCTGGACTTTACAATTTAGTGAGGGAGCAGATACATAAACAGGCAGTTGCAGTGTAGTACTGTAAGTACCACAACAGAAGGTAGAATTGTGTGACATGGGAGGATCCACGAGGCATCTAACTCAAGGTTGGGGGTGGGTGCCAAGGGTCAGGTTTAACTTCCCAGAGTTAAAAACGCAAAACCAAATAAAATTACATGAATTTAATTAGAACAATCAAAATGTTAAAGCAAGAAGTCATATTTTCTTTCCTCTAGCAACTAATTTATTTACCTGCTTTTCTAGTTTCAACCTGTGCCACTGTTGAGTTCCGCTGTGCAGATGGGACCTGCATTCCAAGATCAGCGCGGTGCAACCAGAACGTGGATTGTGCAGATGCTTCCGATGAGAAGAACTGCAGTAAGACAGTCTGCTCCTGTTCTGTTGCTCATGCCTGCACACTCTTGGCATTGCATTGAACACTGTCCTACTTTTCACTGAACCTTGTCCGGAATTGATATGTAATTAACCCCTGTTGTGAAGAATAATTGCTTATTTACTTCTTCAATTAGGCTAACTTGTCTTGTCTCTATGACCTACACAGAAGGTTGATAATTTTTGCCTCTGAGGTATTGTTCATTTTTCTGTTTACCTCCTTGTAGATAACACAGACTGTACACACTTCTATAAACTTGGAGTGAAAACCACAGGGTTCATAAGATGTAATTCTACCTCACTGTGTATTCTGCCAACCTGGATATGTGATGGCTCCAATGACTGTGGAGACTATTCAGATGAATTAAAATGCCCAGGTAATTCTAGAAAAACAAAGCAAAGCAAAACAAACAAACAAACAAACAAAAAATAGGCTTTGCCTTGAATATTTGGAAGCTAGTTGTGTAGACTAAACTTTTTAATTTTTGTTATGAATTTTCAGTGATAAGAATACAATTTAAATATTCTAAACATGCCACTTCACTTTTAAAAAATTAATTGTAAAATGACACTCAAGAAATCTGCATTTGGATCAATTTCCTCTTTTAGTTCACCATTAAGCCTTTTAAAGTTAGTGATTAAACTTAAAATGTGTAACCTATAGCTTCCATAGAAGTAATATATACTGAGAAAATACTATTTATAGATTAAAGAGAGGGAGACTATATCTCACCACTGGTTCTACTCAGTGTTATTATATAGTGTGCATTGTCTTGTTAGAAGGTTTGATGCAGTTTACACAATCTCTTTGCATAGTATAAGTCTTGTTATCATTACTGGGCCAAGTTTAGACAGGTATATTTAATCTTACTATTAATCATGTTTACCTACATAAGCTCTGGAAAGTGCCATCTGCATTCTTAGAAAAATGCCTTTCATGAAAAGGACATAGCCCTGTTTCTTTTTAACTGTTTGAAGAACAGTTAGCATGATGTTCTTCATGTCCATCCATGCTGTCGCAGAGTAAAATTCTCTTCCTTTTTACGGCAGAGTAATATTCCATTGTGTAAATGTACCACAGCTTTTTTGGTCATTCTATTGATGGACACTTGGGCTGCTTCCAAACCTTGGCTATTGTAAATAATGCTTCAATGAACATTAGGGGTAAATATATTATTTCAAATTACTGTTTTGGGTTTCTCTGAATAAATTCCCAGAAGTGGAATTGCTCATAACGCAGTTCCATTTTCAATTTTTTGAGGTAACTCTATACTGCATTCCACAGTAGCTACATCAATCTGCATCCCCAACAACAGGGCATGAGGGTTCCCTTTTCTCCACATCCTCCCCAACACTTGTTGTTTGTTGGTTTATTGATGATAGCTCTTCTGACAGATGTGAGGTGATATCTCATTGTTGTTTTAATTTGCATTTTTCTGATGATTAGTGGCATTGAGCAGCTTTTAATATGTATATTGGCCATCTGTATGTCCTCTTTGGAGAAGTGTCTATTCAGATCCTTTGTCCATTTAAAAAAAATGTACTTTTATTGATTTCAGAGAGGAAGGGAGAGGGAGAGAGAGAGATAGAAACATTAATGATAGAGAGAGAATCATTGATTGGCTGCCTCCTGAATGCCCCCTACTGGGGATCAAGCCTGCAACCTGGGCATATCCACTCTTAGAGTTTATAATAATAATAGTATTTCACAATCTAATATGTGTGTGTGTGTGTATATATATATATCACAGAATAATTTCCCATACAACTACTTTTTATTCTCATGATATTTCTGCAAGGTATAAAAATTTTAGAGATTGTATTGTAACTTGTTTTTCTTCCTTAAAATAGAGAAAATTTATTTGAATCTTCTTAAAGCATACTCAAACTATAGGGCAGTAGTAATATCAAGTCCACAGTTTGTAAGCAAAGATCCACTCATATTTTTATAAAATCATTTGTTTTTTATGATTAGGGAATTAAGAATATTTTCCACCTAAAATGATTATTTAGCCTTAGGCTCATTCACTTTATACTCATTTCCATTATTTTAAATATATATATATATTTCTAAAACTCCACATTATTTATATATAAACAGTTTTTCCCTTATTATAATCTTTCTTTAGATTTGATTAATATATCTTCCTAGTTTCCTCTGATCTGTGACAGTTTTTCAGGTTTTTTTGTTTGTTGGTTTGTTTTGTTTTGTTTTCATGACCTTGACATTCTTGAAGAGAATATCTTGGTTCCGTTTTAAGATTTCTATTTATTTATCACCTATATTTCAGAAGTCTAAGATTAATTAATTTTTGACACTACGTTCTATATTTTGTCACAGTGCAAAACAAACACAAATGTGAAGAAAATTATTTTGGTTGTCCTAGTGGAAGATGCATTTTGAATTCCTGGATATGTGATGGTCAGAAAGACTGTGAAGATGGACTTGATGAATTACACTGTGGTGAGTGAGACATTATACCTTGCTTTAACTTTATAAACTGTATTATTATTTATATACTGATCTTCACTTAGGTATTTTATTCAAAATACTGCTAATTGGTTTAACATCAATTTTTATTTTGTTAAATAATACAAAATGGTATAGATTAAATAGAACATAAAAACTTAAAACAAAGAATTACAATCACCTGTTCTAGTCTTTTCTTTTAAACTTTTCTGTTTTTTCTTAATTATGTCCATCAATTTAAATTACGTACTTATACCTTAATTGTTTTACTTATTACTTTTAGATGCTAATATATTTATTTTCTGATATGAAAAATGAGGATTTAGCTCACACTATTTGTCATACTCCTCCTACCTATAACTGACTATTATTATTCTAAATGTATCAATTAATTTCGTGGATAACTTTAAATATTATGCTTAAACCTGGATTTTATCCTTCATCACCTTCCGTTTAATTTCTGTGTGTGCACATTTCATTTCTCTTGGCAAGGTAAGAAAGCATTTTTAAAATTTATTTAATAAAACGTATGGTTTTATTTTTTATTCCACCCCAGTATATATTTTATTGATTTGAGAGACAGAGGAAAGGGAGAGAGAGAGAGAGAGAGAGAGAGAGAGAGAGAGAGAGAGAGAGAGAAGCAACATTGATGTTAGAGAGAAACATGGATCAGTTGCCTCCTGAATGTGCTCTGACCAGTGGAATGTGCCCTGACCAGTGATGGGGGGAGGGGGGGGGGTTGGGGCAAGGGCAAGACGAAAACTTTTGAAAATATTTTATAGGGTCAAGATAAAAAAAAATATTTTTACAGCAATTTATATTTTGAAGACTTTAATTTGGGAGGGTTTTATTTTTGGATCTTTCATGGTGATAAAAAAGCTGAGTGGAAGAACAGGCTGAAGGTAGAGGAGAGCAGTCACAAACCTGGCTTTGGAAATAAATAAACTGTACTATTCCTAATGCATAATTTGGTCATAACATACCAGCTGCCCTGCCAATGAATTTGGATGTTATTAGTCAGACTTAACATTTCTCAAGGGAGAGAAACAAAAACATCAAAATAATAAGTATGTATAGGTATGTTTAACCATCAAGCTAAAACCCCATCAGTCACCTGATTTTTAAAAACAAAAATACTGGTATATGCTGATGTGTCCACCATACTGTAACCTTGCCTAGGATGTAATTTTTCTCTAATTGTTCAAAAATATATTAAAAATTATAAAGAATAACTAGGCCACCCCTGGAATATTTATTTTATATCTGTTCATCACACCACACTTATTTTTTTTAATGGCAACCTGGAGTAGGAGTACCATTGTAATGACTAGCTCCAAGTCAAACCCTGTGAGAACTGCGTTGAAGGAAGAATGTTGCTAACATGGAAACTCAGAGGGAATATGCAAGCTGTTGTCAAAATATTATAGAGCTGTCACAGAGAAGAGGAATTTGCCTTGGTTTATTAGAGGATTGTTGATTTTAGTAAAGTCTGGAGAAGAATGTCCTTACTCTCATAGTTGTCCTAAGATGGTCCCAAATATATATTTTTTTGTTTGCACCTAAAACAGACATTCTTGTTTGTTTTCTAGATTCTTCTTGTTCTTGGAACCAATTTGCCTGTTCTGCACAAAAATGCATATCCAAACACTGGGTGTGTGATGGAGAGGATGACTGCGGAGACGGACTGGATGAAAGTGACAGCATTTGTGGTGAGCTGTTCCTTTGTGCTCTCACTCCATTTTTAGATGCATGTTACATATGTCCTATCATATTAGAGGACGCATAAGACCTTGTTTTCTACTTACCTTAGCATTAAATTTGTTTATACAGTTATATGTATCTGTTTTTATTATTTTTATGATAGTCTGTTATTCTATTTTTCTATATACAATTATTTTTCAATGTTTAGGTTTCTTTTTAATATTGACACAGTGAACATATTTGTAAATTTTATTTCTAGTCTTCAATGCTATTTTGGAATAGATTTCAATAACTGAAATTATTTGGGTCAAATGATCAAATTTTAATGGCTCTTAATATGTATTGTTAACTTGCCCTCCAAAAGTATATCAATTTATATCACACAAGCTACACATGTTACTTGTATGTGTGCGTTTGCATTATAGTAATCACTAGAGGCCCAGTGCATGAATTTGTGCACCAGTGAGGTCCCCGACCTGGCTTGTGGGATCATGTCAAAACCGGCTCTCCGACATCCCCTGAGGGGTCCTGGATTGCGAGAGGGCACAGGCCAGGCCGAGGGACCCCCTGGGTGCACGATTTTGGCCAGGAAGGGACTGCAGGAGGCCTCCACGGCGTGTCCGGCCTGTCTCACTCAGTCCCGATCACCCGGACCCCAGCAGCAAGCTAACCTACCAATCGGAGCGTCTGCCCACTGGTGGTCAGTGCACATCATAGCAACTGGTCGACTGGTTGACGGTCTTCCCCCTATTGGTCAGTGCATGTCATAGCGAGCAGTTGAAGGGCTTTAGCATATCATTAGCATATTATGCTTTGATTGGTTGAATGGATGACTGGACAACCGGACACTTAGCATATTAGGGTTTTATTATATAGGATTATTATTGATTTGTCTTCAATGGGAAATAAGGAAGGTGGCTATTATATATTATTTTGAAATGTACTTAAACACACACACAATACGGTGTACATATAATGTGTTGTAGAACTGTGCACCTGAAACCTGTATAGTTTTGTTAACTAGTGTCATCCTAATAAATTCAATAAAAAGGAACAAAATAAAACTTTCTATTCCTTCATATAAAATAAAATAAAATTCAGCTTTGTATAATTAGAGGTATAGTTTTAACATCTATATTTAATTAATGTATGTTAACTACACAGCCAATATAATTACTTTTAAATAATAAACATTTAACAAATAATTTATATGGAATTAACTGGATTTCTTAAGGGGTAAAAAGAAGGAAGAAATATTATTTCTATGAATTTATTATACTTGACCAATTTATAATTTATTTATGTCTATCTGTCTCTCTGATCTGTTTCTATATATGTTTGTATTTATAGATATACTAGAGGCCCAGTGCACGAAATCCTTGCATTGGTAGGGTCCCTAGTGGCTGCCGGCTGCCAGCTGGGTACTCCCTTCCTTCCCCCCTGGTCAAACTCCCCGACAACAATTTGCATACTCTGTTTTTATTATATAGGATACTCTTTACTCATTATAAAAGCTGTATTTCATAGCTCTTTCATCCTCATATTAGAGAGAAAAGCTCCTGAATCATTGAATAAGATGCACAAATAGAGTTAAGTATACTTACCAATTCATTAAATGTCAGGTGTCTGGCCCACTCTTTAGGTTATGGAAACATGTATATAAGATTTTATAATGTTCAAGCTAACCTGAAGTTCTCTGGAAATAACATAAAATTGGAGCTATCCTTTGAAATCAGACACTTTATTTTCTTGTATTTAAGTTAACCAAAATTTACTTTTTATTTATACAGCTGAAACAACTTAGTTATCCAACAGATAAAGGTAAATATAAAAAGATCGCTCTGATAAAGCTCTGAAAAGAAAAAGAAATCAGCAATCAAGTAGACACCTGGCCAGTGCCTTTTAACTACTTTGTTTCTATTTGCTATTAAATCTTTCTTTAATTTCAACGGAAAAATTAGTTCCTTACAATGGTTTGAGCAAGTTTCCAGTCTTTACAATAATATTGTGTACTCTTTGTTTAACCCTACCTTAAATGGCTCCATTAATAGCTCTATTTTTTTTTCTGACTGGGCACTGTGTAACAAAATGGATAAATTACCTAAAGTCATGCAGTGTTGAATTTTCCAGCTCTGTGATCATGGGCACCGGTCCATTTTATTCCTTATTTCTCAAATGCCTTACCTATTAAGTGGGTACAAAATGATCTATCTTTTTGTCACTCTTGTGATTAACCAACATGACAAGTGTGTACTATATAAATGAATTTGTTCCCTTCTCTTTTGTTATATTTCTTCTGCTTCCTCCTTTATTTTTCAGAGTTATTTTCACATCTATCATTATTGTCACTGGCAATATTATTGCTGTGTCCATTTTTATTATTATGCCTATATCTATCAGTGTCCTGAGAATATTTTTTAAAAGATTAAAATCGTGAAGGACATGTTTACCTGTTTTCAAAACACCCAGATAATTTAATTTAATTACAGACTGAATTTTGTATACTAAGCTGGTGACAAATAAAAATTACTGTTTTAGACCAAACATCAGTCAATGATCCAAACCTAATATTTTAGGATAGGAAAGGAACTTTATAAGTAGTTTATCTCAGTGGTTCTCAAGCTTGAGTGCACAAAATGTCCTTCTCAGAGTGTGTTGAAATGTCGATTCTTAATCCCCATCTCCAAATATTCTAATGAGGGCTGTAAACACAATCTTCCTTAAGCAAAGACCTGAGGATCCTATTTGGAAATCATAGTGTAGTCCCTTTCCATCATTTGATCATAAAAAAAGAGAAACTCACAGAGGTTAATATATTTGCCGAGGTCTCAGAGGATCAGAGATGACAGAGCTAGGAACAGAATTCAGATTTTTGAAATACTAAGTAAAAGAGTAACTCTTACCAATCAAACCTCGTATCTGCATATGTGCACAGGATGGATCTGGTGGAGTTCCTTCAGCTTGTCTTCCTTCTCCCTGGGGATTCATATCCCTGAGGAAGTCAGTGTGTCTTCGGATGAGCGGTAACTGAGGAATGAAGCCATGGGTTTTTTTCTTTGGGGCATTTTCTTTCCAATTGACTATGATGTTTTGACATGCTCTTAACATAAAAACTGTTGAACAGTATCAAGGGAGCCAGAAAATTAGCTGCATGAAGCCTTATGCTATTTCATAGTTTGAGGTATCTGACTAATTATGTAGTCATAACCTACATTTTGCAGACAGTGAAATTCAGACACCAGTCTTCTCCAAGGTCAGACAGAATTAAATTTCTCAACAGCCAAATCAATGCTATGTCTATTATGCCTACCTTGAGAATAAATTAGGATAATAATAAAAACGTAGGCCAGAAGCAGAAAAAAGTTCATTTTTAAATCTCAAGCTTAATAACAAAAATATTATAGAAATTAGAGCACAAATTGAGAGTATAATAGTGAAAGTTACACTATGTTCTTATGGCAAGCTTGAGAAGATAGATAAGAAGAATAAATAATATAAAAATAAATTCTGTAGGAAGATAATTTCATTTTCAAAGGTACTAACGACATAACAGGTAGGAGGTAAATTCATTTTTAAATGACAGCAACATTTATTTAATAGTTTTTATTATTTTCTCCAGTAATAGATATCATATTAAACTTAATTCTATTAACACTTATCCTCAATCAAATGAGCAAGTTTGAATTATCTGGGGGACTTTTCAGCATTCATTTGCCATCTTGTTCTCCAAACTAAAGTATATGTCAAGGCAAGGCCTATTTATGTTGGAAAAGGTCACTGGGGGGTTCTGTTTTCTCACCCTGCTGCCCCCTCATATTACAACTTGGCATTGAAAGCAATGGCATTTATGCTCCTAATAACTCTGTGGCCCAGAAGATGATATTGATAATCCAGTAATCCATGTTGATTATTGCTTAAATGTTTGGAAACAAATATCTTTACTCAATCTACTCAGTCTTTTTCTTCCTGGGAATATTAATGTTTTCTGAGTAATCTTAACACTATGATTTTTATAATGTTTTTATGGGCAGCTTTTGGTCACAAGAAAAGTGAAATTAAAGAATAGTTGGATTTGAGGATCCAGTTACTAATTGACTCAACAAAATCTATATATATAAAAGACTAATATGCCAAGTGTCCCCTCAGGAGTTCCATTGTTCGCTGTGACATGCGCTGACCACCAGGGGGCGGTGCGGAATGAAGGAAGGCCCTGGCTGGCAGCCAGCAGCAGGGGAAGGAAGGCACCAGCTGGTAGCTGGCAGCCGGAAAGCCCCGATCGGCCCTGATTGCTGTCCAGGCCTAGGGACCGTACCCGTGCACGATTTTCTGCACTGGGCCTCTAGTTTTTATATACTAGTAAATAACAAACAAAGGTGCCATTCAATATGTATAGCTATACTTGGGGCTAAGGAAACATCCTGAGAAAGAATCATTTTCTAATTTTTCTTTTATGCTTACCCTATGCCCATGTAAGGAGGAACGAAGAGGAAGCATCTATGACTTTTTGAATTTACAAGTCAATAAGCATTTATTTTTTTTGCAGTATATATTTGAAAAACAACATCATTCAAATAAAGGGACATTAAATTGATAAAGCAGAGAAAAGATAGGTTCTGTTTATCAAGTGTGTAAAAACAAAGAGAATATGCATACGTTTATTCTTTTCAACAACACCGAGTGGGGATTAACAATAATGTCAGAAGTGGTTAAGACAAGGTGCTTAGGTTTGCAATTTCCTTTTCTGTGAAATGAGATCAATAGCAATTCCACCGTTTGGGGTTGTTGTGAGTATTAAATGAGTTATTATGTTAAGTGCAAATCCTGATATGTTCAGTTCTTTTAAACATTTCTTTTTTGGTTTATTCAAAATTCTGTGACATTTCTGTGCTTTGCTATATTTTACAAAGAGAAAATATCATTATTTTCAGCCAGGTAGCTTTCATAGATATAACTGAAGTTCTAAAGGAATGCATTTTGAGAGGGAAATGTGTAAACATCTATAGGAGAAGGATACTATTTGATGATTCCAGGTAACTTCAGTCTCTTCCTTGTCCGCAACATTTGTCTGCCCCCCTTCTTTCTATAGGGAATGTCGATGGTAGACTTTTTCCAGCAGACACGCAGTGACCTTCATGCGTCTTCCCTTTGGGTTTCAGGTGCCATCACCTGTGCGGCCGACATGTTCAGTTGCCAGGGCTCCCACGCCTGTGTGCCGCGACACTGGCTGTGTGACGGTGAGCGGGACTGTCCGAATGGAAGCGACGAGCTCTCCACAGCGGGCTGCGGTACGGACACGCGTGGGGCTGTGTGTGTAGGAAAGCGGCCGCACATGCTCACACATTTGCTTGTGGACTGCTCACCCTATCACATTGCTCTCACTTTCTCACCCCCTGGACTCACAGGTAGTGTCAGAACTAATGAGATGGGATGTTCATCATAGCAGTTCAGCAAGCCCTCTGATCCCTTCAAAGCCGTTCAAACGTGCACAATTGGGTTATGCATTTCAAAATCTTTCTTTTTTTCTCTTTTTTTGGTGAACACAGAACAGATTTATCATTCACTTTTGAGATAATGTAACTCCCTGATATGTGTGTGAGTGTGATAGGGTTGTTACTTTCTATTTAGCATCTTCTACCCTGTCCCCTCTCCCCCGCCGTGACAACTTTTAGATTTGCTCATTCCAGATACTCTGTAAATGACTCCTGTGATCCCAAGTAACTACTGATCAGAAGGTCAGTGAACACCTATTAACCCTATGGATAGGGTATTAACCCTCAGGTCAGGTGAAAATAGTGTGGATAGAGCTGAATGAAGCTGGGGGGTCAGAGGTACACCTGTGGAGGTCACACAATTTACTATGTTTCTGACTCTAGGTAACCTCAGGAAATTTACAGGGAATTACTTAACAATAAAAATTTAGATAAATGCCTTTGCATGATCAAGAAAATGTAGAGACTGAATATTTGAATGTGGGTCCCAAGGTTGCTTAGGGAATCTGCCCAGCTGAGCAATTGACAAAAACATGGCTGTGAACTCTGCTCATTAAAAGTGAATTCTGCCAACCGTCACTCCAATGACCTGCCTTCAGGTTTTGAAAACTGTATTTGAAGCCATAATGTAAGTGTGTGTGTATGTAGTGTGTGTATAAGGGGAATAGCTAAAGCTGAGAGGAGAAAGAACACTTTGAGCAGGCTTATGTGCACAGAATCCATGCTACTGTAGAATAATTCACTTTGATCTTGAAACGGATGTGTGTGTCTGTAAAGGTCAATGGGGCCGCTGAGGGCTACATAATAAAGGATTGCACATCAATTCAGGGATCCAGATGGTCCCAGTATAGTGTTGCTATTGTAACAGTTAACACTCTGGGAGGCGTATTAACACTTTAGGCCACATGGGTCCTATTAAGTAAATTATTCTCAAATACAATAAATTGTCCTCAAGTGATCTGAAACTGTTAATGCCAAATAAGCCTCTGTTGCTTAGTGTTTTAAAGAACAATTCATGTATTAAAATTGGCATAATTCACTGGAGTTATATAAGCTGTTGCACATTTCAAAGTTAGAGAACTTATTAGTAACTGAGTTTTACTTTAATTATAATGGGCAATTTGTAATGCTGGTTCTATCTGGCTTTCATATTGTTTTTTTAAATAAATTTCTTGGACATAAATCATACTTGACTAGATTTATATATACACATGTATATATTATATATATGATATATGATATATATATATATATATATATATATATATATATATCATATATATAATTTGTTTTGCCTATTCATGTAGCTGTTTCAGTCATTGAGTTGAAAGCAGAGGTTTTCTTTCTTTGTAGAGTTTGAGGCAGCCTTGTGTAGGGAACTGATAGGCATGTAAGTGAATAATTATAATACCTCAAGTGTTAGAAAAATCCTATATAATAAAAGCCTAATATGCAAATTGTCCCCTTAACCAGGAATTCAACTGCTTGCTATGATGTGAGCTGACCACCAGGGGGTGGCGCAGAACATGGCTGGCATTGGCAACGCACTGCAACCTCTCTCTGGCTATCTGGGGGCGGGGGTGACGGGACAGAGGTGCAGTGAGAATGTGGGGTATCCGCCGAGCTTGCTCTCCCTCCCCCTGCTACCCTCCCCGGGGATGCCAGGGCTCATGCGCCGGGGAAGGCCCCCCCCCCCCCATGCTCAGGTGCCAGACAGCCATGAGGAGCTCACCCCACACCCACACGGTCTCTTTTGGGTGAGCTGTGCCACAGCTGCTGGTACCACAGGGGCTGGTTGGGCTCCCTGTGGGTTCATGCAGGAGCAGGTCTGCGAGGCTGGCTGGGTGAGCACACACTGCCTGCCCGGCTTCTGTGCGGCACCGCTGGGAAGCCCAGAGGCCCAGCTGCGCCCCAGCCTGTGGTGTCTGGCTGCGCTCACCACATCTCGGCGTGGGGACTCAAGCTTGATGACTTAGGCAGAGGGGGGCAGGCAGAGGCCCAGGGGCCCAGGTGCTGCCCAGGGCCCAGAGGTCAGCTGGGATTTGCCCTTCCACAGTAGATGCTTGCACTTTGATCACCAGCCAGGACTAGGGATCACACCCATGCACGAATTTCATGCACCGGGCATCTAGTCCTACATAATAAAAGTGTAGTAGGCAAATTGTCCCCTCGACCAGGAATTTGTCCGGGGTTCAACTAGGGGACAGGACAGGCCAGGGGAAGGGAGGGAGGTCCTGGCTGGCAGCTGGCAGCCAGGGGAAGGGAGGGAGGCCCCGGCCGGCAGCTGGCAGCTGCTAGAGACCCTACCAGTGCACAAATTTTGTGCACTGGGCCTCTAGTATATATATAAAAGATACTAGGTCATCACAAAGAAATATATAAAAAGCCTAGAAATCTCATGGAAGGACTTCAATAAAAAAGCAAAGCTATAATCTGAGTTATAAAGTTCAAAGAGGAGAAAGAGTTATTTTGGATTGAGGAAGGTGCCTTTTAAGACATAGAAGGGAAAGGTTGGAAGGCATATAACCTTTTTCAAGTGTTCATTATATGTCCATTATTTTTGGTGGGTGCTTTTATTTACATTAGTGAATTCCCACAATATCTCAGTGAAGTGTTTTGGGGGATCTTCCAAAAATAATTGTCAGGTAGAAATTTAAAGAGCATCTAGGAATTTGAGTACATAAAATGAGCTGATCTGCTTCTTACAATTTACCTAGTTCTTACAAAAAAATTATCAGGTAGATTTTATTATCTTCATTAAGTGCATAAAGAAACAGATGCACAGTCCAGAGGGTGTGGGTCAGTGGTTGAGCATCAACCCTGAACCAGGAGGTCACGGTTCGATTCTCTGTCAGGGCACACGTTGGAGTTGTGGGCTTGATCCCCACCCAGTAGGGGACATGCAGGAGGCAGCCAGTCAATGATTCTCTCTCATCATTGATATGTCTATATCTCCCTCTCCCTTCCTCTCTTAAAAAAAAAAAAGAAAGAAATATGCACAAAGAGGATAAGTAGCTTTCTCAGGATACAAATGTAAGAGGCAGAGTGACTTTTTGCAAAGCCTTTCTCTTTCCCGTATATGATGATGAGAATTAAGATATAATCAACATATAACATGGTATTAGTTTTAGGTATATAACATGATTTGATATATGCATATTTTGTGAAATGATAACCACAAGATAGTGAACATTCATTATATAGCAGATTATTGACAATGGAAATCTCTCAAACCTTGAATTTTTATCATAGCACTTATCCTTTAAATGTAAGAAAATATAATTAAAAATGTTTATATGATCTCTTCAAACCTCTATGATTCCATGCACATTATATAAAAATTTATTTAATCTGCACAAATTGCCATTTTTTGAACATCTGCTGAAATTTTAAAGCCCATTTTGATCAACCATTTTTCCCACTGGTAAGGACCCTTGCTAGATAGAGCACAAATTTCATGGGTCACTTTTCTTAAAGGATTGATATTTTATTTCCTAATTTAATGTGATACTTGTGGTTGTGCCCATCACACCTTAAGTATTAACCCATTTCAACTCTGGAAGTCACCTATTTTATTTTATTTTGAAAACAGTAACTTTCTCAGACTTTAGACTATTCTTTCACTTTTTAATGAGCATTGGCACTTGTTGGTATTTTCAGGTTCATTTTTTGACAAATAAAGCAAGGTTTTTATCCCTTACTAGCATTGGTGCAGAAGAGAGAAAAACTCAGCCACATTATTACACTTGATTAAGTTTTTAAATTTTTATGTATGTATGTATGTATGTATTTATGTATTTATTTTAATCTTTATTGTTAAATCACATAATGAACCTTTGGATTCCACCTTTAGCAAACTTACAAATTTCTCAAAGGCCTGAAATTTTGGGTTCACTCTAGAACAGTTGAATGCATTAATACTAAAACTTTGAATTGCCTATCTATTTATATTTATATTTATATATTCCAAAATATTAATAAATGTGTATTAATACATGTTATTAACTTATCTGATATGTTGAATATTATGTAAAATTTCATTCTAAATAACTATGGACTACTGAGTATAACAGCAAACACTCTCTAAGCTCCTAAGGTAGGGGAAGATAAAACAGGAACTCATCTAACTTCGTTTTCTGTGATGTCTTCCTTAGCTCCCAATAATACGTGTGATGAGAATGCTTTCATGTGCCGGAATAAAGTATGTGTGCCCAAAAAGTTTGTTTGTGACTATGACGATGACTGCGGAGATGGCTCCGATGAGTCTCAGCAGTGTGGTAAGTGGACCTCAACTTCTCCTGGACACAGACTCGGGCTCCATTTAGTCTTTTAAAATGACTCAAAGAATATATAAATGAATAACAGATACAAAGGTACACATTAGTGAACATCATGGAAGACATTTAAATGCAGTTATACACAGACATCCCACATGTAACCTCTTTAAGCTCCACAATAATTATGCATTTACTTGGAAATCACACCTTCTTGCAGTGTATTCTTATCAGGAACTAAAAATGTTTCTAAAACTGTATTTGGTTTTACGTACTTGGAAGTACACCAAGATAACACGCTGCCATCTATCTAGTTCATTCTTACAGCCAACTCAGATCTCAAAGTGAGAGAGAACAGTGCAATTCACAACGACCAGGATAACTGGATACTGAGCATTATCCTCTCACTGTATCTTATTGACACATGTACGTATTTCTTAAGGTATAATATTATGATGAGATCTATCTTTTCACTACATTTATAAAGTGATAAGATAAATATATATGTAGTGAAAAGATAAATCTATAACATTATATCCTATCTAATAAAAGAGAAACATGGTAATTAGCCGTACATCCGCTACCCTTCCCATTGGCTAATCAGGGTGATATGCAAATTAACTGCCAGCCAAGATGGCGGCCAGCAGCCATGCACTGAAGGGAACAGGGAGGCTTGCTTGCTCCAGTGATGGCAGACTCCAACATTCCCCGCCTGACTTGCCGGCCTCTCAGCTGCAACTCTAAGCAACTATGTTGCAAATATAGAAGCTAAACAAAACCCCAGAAACCTGCTTTATTCAGCCGGGCTTCAGCCAGCCGGACCGCAACATTGTATCAAATACAGAAGGTAAACAAAGGCCAGAAACCTGCTTTCAGCAGCAGAGGCCTGAGAGCTAAAGCTGGCCCAGAATAAAAAAAAGAAAAAGAAAAAAAGGAGTGGTTGGGAGCTTCAGTCACCTGCCAGCCTGAAAACAGCCCTCAGCCCCTCAGCCAGACTGGCCAGGCACCCCAGTGGGGACCCCCACCCTGATCCAGGACACCCTTCAGGGCAAACCAGCCAGCCCCCACCCATGCACCAGGCCTCTATTCTATATAGTAAAAGGGTAATATGCCTCCCAACACCGGGATCAGCGTGACAGGGGGCAGCGCCCAAACCCCCTGATCTGCCACTGCTCTGTGTGCGACAGGGGGCGGTGCCCCAACTCCCCTATTGGCCCTACTCTGTGAGTGACAAGGGGGGAGCTCCCCAACCCCTGATCGGCTAGCTCTGTGTGTGACAGAGAGGATCTCCTCAACCCCTTGATCGACCTGCTCTGTGTGTGACCAGGGTACGGAGCTCCAACCCCCGTGATGGGCCCTTCTCTGTGCATGACAGAGGGCAATGCCCCATCCCCCTGATCGGCACTGCTCTGTGCATGACGAGGTGGAGCCTCAACTTCCCTATCGACTCTGCCTTGAGTGTGACAGGGGGCGGGGACCCAACCCCCCAATCGGCTGTACCCTGAACGTGACTAGGGGTGGCATCGCAACCTCCTGATTCGCCCTGCTCTGTGCATGACAGGGGGCAGCGCCCCCAACTCCACAATCGGCCCTGTTTTGAGCCTGACCAGGGGCTGCACCTAGGGATTGGGCCTGCCTTCTGCCACCCGGGAGCAGGCCTAAGCCAGCAGGTCATTATCTCCTGAGGGGTTCCAGACTGCGAGAGGGCACAGGATGGGCTGAGGGACCCCCTCCCCCCCCCCCCAAGTGCACAAATTTTTGTGCACTGGGCCTCTATTATTTAAATAAAATGTCAATACAAATGCATACATAACTCTTTTTTCCATTTTTTTCTCTTTATTTATTTATTTTTTATTAAATCTTTATTGTTCAGATTACATTTGTTCCTCTTTTTCCCCCCCCATAACTCCCCTCCTTCCAGTTCCCGCCCCACCCTCTGCCCTCACTCCCCACCCACTGTCCTCATCCATAGGTGCACGATTTTTGTCCAGTCTCTTCCCGCATCTCCCATTCCCCTTTCCCCCCCAAGAATAGGCAGTCCATTCCCTTTCTATGTCCCTGATTCATTATAATCACCAGTTTATTCTGTAAATCAGATTATTTATTCACTTGATTCTTAGATTCACTTGTTGATAGATGCATGTTTGTTGTTCACAATTTGTATCTTTACCTTTTTCTTCTTCCGCCTCTTAAAGGATACCTTTCAGCATTTCATATAATACTGGTTTAGTGGTGATGGAACTCCTTTAGCTTGTCCTTATCTGAGAAGCTCTTTATTCGAAGTTCGATTCTGACTGAAATCATTGCTGGATACAGCAATCCTGGTTGGAGAAAATATGGTATACTTCACTTTAAATATTTCTTGCAACTCACATTCTGGTCTGCACATGTCCTCATGCAACACAGTCTCACACGGCCTACGGGGAGACCCCCGGACGTCAATGAGTCACTTTCTCTTCGCGGAGTCTCAAACTCCCCAAATCGTGTATAAGTTCTGCGCGTTCACCATGATGC